AGTCTCTGCAACTTTTTCAAACATTTCATATGCAATTAGTGTCAACCAGGTGCCCAAAAATCTCGAGGAAAGACACACCGAAGACACTCTTGGACGGGTTGAGGACAACAGCAATCTGTTGAAGGTGGTCAGACACCATTGTGAGATGTTCCATGTGTTCCTCTGCGGCAGAGCTTGCCACCAAGAAGTCGTAAATGGAGGCAAAGGCGACGGGTAGGTCACGGAGCACCTTTATCGACGAAGCTTTGAAAGGTTTTGAGGCGCTGTGTAGTCTAAAAGACATCCGCAGGAACTCAAAGAGACAAAGAGGGGTGGTGACATTGTCCAAAGCCCTGTAGTTACCACAAGGGCGCCAGTCACCAGCAGTGGTCTTAGAAACCATGCCTGTGAGCTGTCAGATTGACGGACGATGCCCATTTTAAACATGTGCTCAGAATCGGCCTTGGCAAGTGCGAGCCTTGCAGGCGCAAGACGGTGGGGTCGAGAAAAAACCCAAGGGCCAGTACTTTGGATATGATGCAGATGCGGTGTAGTTGCGCCGAAGTTTGGGCGAATAAAGGCAGGGTACTTGGAGAGAAGCTGCCGAAATGGGTTCTCTGGATCAGGGTTCAAGATGGAGAGCTTGCAGGACACTTCAGCTGAAGAAATGCATCAGACGGATGGTTAATTGGTCTGGTCTCGCAAAATACAGTGAAGACAGTCGACCGTAAAATCGAAAGTAGCAAGAAAGTCTGTACCAAGTTTGGCAGAGGGCATGTCAGCAACGATAAACACCCAAGGTATGAGACGCCGGAGGCCGATATTCAGTGAGGGGGAGCATGTACCAAAGGTGGCAGCTGACGAAGTGTTAACGGCCTAAAGGAAAATGCCGGAATTGGGGGACCGACGGTGAGCTGCTGAAGGAGGAATGACACTCAGTTGAGCGTTGGTGTCAACGAAGAAACGTCTTCGGTATATTTCCGTTGCCTGTAAAAAATAAGGAGTTCAGATGTGCACGCCTAAGCTTGCTCCAATGACCTGAACGTTTCTGAAGGCCAATAAGGTGAGGGGCATTCTGGACTGTGCCCGTGAATGCAGTGATTGCGAACGTAACAAAGGCAGGCAAACAGAAACTGGATGTATGTTTACTTGCATAATACACTAAAACAAATAGGAAGACGCTTTTAGATTCCAACAATGTTGAATACGTACTTTCTGTTAACGTGGGCTTGTGTCATTGCACATTTGCCTCGACACTTCTTTAATGGTCCCGGGTTTCAGTCCACACGGCTAGTATAATAGTAAAAGCATGCATGTTTTCGAAAACCGTACAGTAACGTGTTCATTTTGGACACGGTTCACAAGTGGGGTCTTGAAAGGCAAAACTTGTTACTTTTTTAGATACTAAAATATAACTTTATCAGAGAACACAAATTTAAATTCAGGTAGCTTACCTGTAGCTTGGTATACTTTCAACTGTTGAATCGAACGGTACGCTGGTGGTAAATAAAGGATGCCTGCCCTCCATGTTGATAGCAAAACACACAATTACAGTTTGGTAATTTAAAATATCGAGTCCGAGTTAAAAAAGCTTTGTGCTGTGCAGATGCAGGATGAGTAAAAGCCGACCAAACACTCATGGGTCCGCCATTATACTGTATCACCGATTCATAGGCCATCTTGTCACTTTGGTCTAATTAACGGAAAACCAAAGTGACTCTGTATTATATTCTCTTACCTCTGACGATCTGTATAGATTGATGGCTCAATCGGACATTAGCATCAAACACCATTAGCAGTCACTCTGACACTGGACAACGTTGGTTAGAAGAATTATCAATTTGAATTGTCCATTAAAACGAAAGAAAGTAAGCAACCATGATAAACCATGAACTCAAGATCTCTTTTAAAAAAAGAAATAAAATGTGGAAGTGTTTAAGAATAACCGGAAGCGTCCAACAGTTGCAGAATATAAACGACAACGGCGTATCTGTAAGCGGGAGGCAAATAGATTCCATAGGATCTATGAGGTTATCACACTGCAGAACTTGTTCGAGCATCCCAAAATCTTATACGGATACATAACAACTAAAGAAATCGTGACCGGATCCCAGCATTGCGGTCCCAAAACGGAGTACTGGAGGCGAATGACATCTTTCAGTCGGCATTCACTGGTGGAAAAATCCCCCCTCCGCTTCTCCACTCAGACCAACGCCAAAATTTGGTAATCCTTGCAGGGGAAAATGTCTTAGACTTCTCACCTGCATCGAGAAGGACAGAATTACTCCACATAAAACCCACCAAATCACCCGGTCCAGATAGGATTCATCCACATGCTCTTAGAAAACTGGCCAACGTACTGTGTGAGCCGGTACTGATGACATTTCAAAAGTTAATGGAAGAAGATGAACTGTGACTATAATGGAAAACTTCCCTTATCTCCCCGATCCATAAAAGAAGGTCCATACTGGAACCGGAAGCTTGCTGTGCGATTATTTTAATATGCATTTTGTACAAGTTCATGGCAGGGCTTATTAAGAGACAGGTGCTGACGGCTCTGCAGTAACATATTATGTGCTGCTTGGCATGGTTTTCGCCGTGGGTACTCATGCACTACGAGTAGTCTTTACACGCAGGAAAATTGATAAAAAAAAAACAGAACAAGCTTATCCAGTTTACCAATTTTTTGGACTCCAAGGAGGCGTTTGGCAGCGTACGTCATCAATGGCTCTTATATAAAGTCTGGCAGTATGGTATCCAAGGTATCGTTTTCAAATGAATCAAAATTTCCTGTCACGCATGCTGCAAAAGTACTTGCTGGGAGCGCAGAATTTGAATGGGTACCAGTAGAAAGTTGTGTTCTACAGGGATCAGTCTTAGCCCTCTTCTGTTCCTCTAAATAAACGACTACACTGAGAATCTGGACTATGATAACATTATGTTTGCAGATGCTATCAAACTTTGAAAGACCATTAGCTCTACTGGCGAAGCACAAG